TCAAAAACACATTCAATGAAGAGACTATAAATGAAAGAGGCGAGAGATTAATACAATTTTGTGCCCAACCTAAATTAAGTAACAGTATATACTGCCCTGTATGTAGCCACAACATAAAAGTACCTTTCAAATTACAAGAGGTCAAAATCAATGACGGATTTTATCGTCACAAATAGAAATATTAACTGCATTGAAATACTAAAGTGAGAACATCATCGTTCGTAATTGCGGAACTGACTACATCATTGTATTAGCGAATATAAGAAATTTAGTCACCCAACAAGAAGAATAACTACAAAGAAAAGCAGTGAAGTAAACATAGAATTAGTGGAGGATGAGCTTAGAGGCTCAGCTTAGAGGAAAATCTGGGATATATTGAGAAACAGAATGAAACCAGTAAATGAGTTCATACACCCACAAAGATAAAAATACTTCAAATAGCTGTATGAAGACATGACAGAAAAGGGAGCAAATCCAGAACCTCTTCAAGCAGACGTTGGTACTGATGCTTAATGGGGATTCATCTTCTCCAAAGGAAAAATGAAACAACCGATCTAGATCTTGAAAACAGATAAGCAAAAGGATACCATCTCAATGGAAGTGCAGTATTAATTTCTGAACGCAAAGATTCTCCAAAACAAAACTTTTTAAATTCGAAATAATGACAGAGAAGTATAATATGGTGCGGGGCTAATGGTTTGATAGTAGCGAGAGGAAGTTTTAGGATAACCAATGTCTTCAACAACAAAATTTTATTAACATTTATTAACAATAATAAAAGTGCGGACGCGCAAAGGGTAACTGCTGACTGATCTGCCGATGACAACTAATAACTGATTACTGCCGATGGCAACTGATAACTGATGGTAACTGGTGGTAACTGACTGAACTCTCTGGGCCGATCCTGGTTCCTTTTATCCCCGAGTCCAGTAACATCCCCGGTGAAAGCTCTCTTCGAGTCCTTGTCTGGACCAAAAGGATCTGCTGTCCAGATGTACGGAGAGAGTTCTTCTAAATAGTTTCGAACGCTTTCTGGCGACCAGATGTTTGCCACGGAGAGCGTCCAGTAATATCTCCGGTGAAAGTTTTCCGGGAACCCTTTGTCTGGACCAAAAGGGTGTCCTGCCCAGATGACCGGAGAGAGATTTTTTGAACGGTTTAGAAGGCGGTTCTCTGGCGTCCCAGATGTTCGCCACATATGGAAATGTCAGTACTGAAAATGTATTTCGTAACAATAGCCAAACAACATTAGNAAAAATTTGTAGCTGCAGAGGTGTTACGTTTTGGAATGGTGACAAGGGTTATTTGGCCAGAAAAGTTTCAAAAGGAGTTAATTACAGCTGTAATTGAAATTTCTACGAATTCGTTACAGGTAAAAAAAGATATTTTTTATTTAAAGGAGATTTTATACAGTGTAAACTTTTTTAGTTTAAACAAATTACAAAGAGACAGTTAAGAAACAGGATGAAAAATCAAATTCAAGAGTCGTTAGCTGGCGAAGAAGACATTTTATTGGAAACGTGGATAAGTGCGGAGTGTCAAAAGAATTTTGAAAATTATGTTTAGATTAAGATCAGTTTTTTGTGCATTTGTATTGCCCGTTTTATTGGTACAAAGTCAATTTTTTGTTTTTATTTTTAGTTATATTCCCTTACAGTTGATTTTTTGACTGTAATCTAATGTCTTTAGGTTATACTTTACGTTTGTTTCATACACCTCATTTCAAGAGAACAAATGAATATAAAATGAAACAATAAAATATAATGGAGTGTATTTAGAAGTGATTATCCCATTTTGTCTTTTGCACATTGCTCCAGATGCCTTACTTAGTGAAAAAAAATTAATATATTTTTATACTCGTTGGTGACTAAAATTAAAAAGAAACAAAAATTTTGAAAGACATCTGCTTTTTTTGGGATGTGATCGAGTTGAAAATTAAAAAAAATTATCGGTTTCAATTTATTTTACAATTTATATTAAAAAGCAATCATTTTCATTTTGTCATATTTTAAATATAAGTTAGGGGATTAAAAAAACTAAGTTGTAGTTTGTTAGATATTTTATTTATAAGTTCAGTTTATAACTTTTTTTTAGGAAAGTTCACTTAACAAGAACTTTTTTCTTTAAGCAAAACAGTCTTCTGTAATTCTTGTACTTTTTTGATAGGGTTTATTGATGCGGAAAAAAACAATAAACCTGAACTGCGCGTTTTTTTTCGTCATTGTTATTGACTAACTTGAATTGTAAGTGTTATCATGTTTTATAAATATATAATAGTAACTATATATATGTACACAGAGTTCACTTCTATTATCATTTTGTACTATAGATGAATGTTTATAACATTCTCTTTTATTGTGCAATTTAATAAAAAAAGAATTGTAGATGAGTGATTTCTTAATTATTTGTCATGAAGAATAAAGTTATAAGATGAAATGTTTTACAGAATTGATTTTAACACAATGGAAGATCTGCATACATATTTAATCATGCCACTGCTGCATGAATAATTTCGGAGCATGGAGACCAGATTAATAACTTAAAAATTCGCTGAACAGTACATGTTAAAATTATTAAAATAAATGTTAAAAATAATAAAATTGATTTTATAGGAAACCCCAAACCGGAAAATGGGGGAGAAAAACCAAACCTTTAATTCAGAAACATAACAACAGGTGGCGGCAATAAATATATTTTTTTGTAAAAGATTGAACCATGTAATGTTTACATGGTTCATTAAATCAATTGCAAATAATATAGTAAATAAATGAACAAAACACCAAAAGGAAATTCCATAATTTTCTTTGAGTTTCAGAATCCTTCTTCTTTAGGTGCCGTCTCCGATTCGAAGGTTGGTAATTCTAACTTTTGAAGCTACGGATCTGAATAGTTCGTTGCTGGTGCAGCCAAATCACTCTTCAAGGTTCTTCAGCTAGGAGTTACGCCTTTTTCCTATGGACCTCTTTTCCAGAATTTTTACCTGCATAATGATTTGCAAAAGATGGTACTTTTCCCCTCGCATGATATGGTCCATATATAATAACTTACTCTGTTTGATCGTCAGTACTATCTCTTTATTCTTCTGCATCCGTCTCATCACCTCCACGTAGGCCAATTTCTCTATTCATGAAATCTTTAAAATTCGTCCATATATCCATGTCTCCTTGAAGTCTTCCTACATCAATCGCTTTAAGTGTCCACACTTCCACGCCGTAGAACAGTGCCGATAGCACTTTTCACCTCATTCTCATTTATCACTCTCAACTCCAGACTCAGATCTCGAGAACAAGAAAACTTCTTCATTCCATTAAACATGCTTCTAGTTTGTTCAATTCTAATGCTCACCTCTTGGGAGTTGTCGTTGTTATCAGTAATCATTGTGCCTAGATATTTGAATTCTTGTACTCTTTGAATAGGTTGACATTTTACACATATCTTATTATATATTCCCTTACATATTCTTCCTTTACAGTAACTATTCTATTAACAAGCTTTTTCACATTATTAGCAACCAAGAAAGCATATACTGAGCTTAAATTTTTCGTATCAGCTCTAAAGTTTACAGATTCCACCTCATTAATATATACAATTGCTAGAAAGAGTCCCTTATTGTAGGTTAACTCCTTATCCAAGATATTTTTGTATCTTTCAAAATCCAAGTAACATTATACGCAACTAAAGCACTTTTTTTTATTACGAGTCACGATCTCTTCTATTCTGATTAATCCGATAAGTTTTGTTAAGTAGTTCCTATACGAATAATCGCAATTGCTGCATGGGATTTTGTAGATGATATTTGACCTAGATAATATTAGTACTGATTTACAGAGATTTACGGAGCACAAAAGCAAACATACCACCCAGAAGACGAGTTGGAAAACCATTATTGATAAAAATAGTAAACAATCTTTTTTTATTTCTATCCCAAAATACAGGGTTGGAAATTAACTTAATGCCACATGGAAACAATCGTGTTAATCTTTTGATTAATAGGATGATGAGGTTTATAAACATTTTGTATTGCCGATTATAATTCAATTTTAATAATGTAGTGAAAGATGGTTCTGGTGTGTGTTCCAGACAGTACGTCGCGCCTTTATTTCTTTATGTAGGTAAAATAAAGGCGCGACGTCCTATTTGCAACGCATCTATCTTTCCGAGATAGGACGAAACGTCTCTCTCCCTACATGGCTTATTTCTATTTCTTTTTAATTTGTAATTCACATAAATCACTCTAAAAAATTAGAGAGACATAACTTTGATAAACAGATAACGGGATTCGACAAATGCAATTATTTGACATATTTTGGTTAAAAACGCGTTAAAATTCACCACATCTTACTAAACCGTGAAGTATAGGGAATATTGAAAGAACACATCATTCTAGCACCTATTCAAATTTGAAATTTTATTCGTCGGATAGTTTTCGAGAAAAAAATCGCAAAGTGAACAAAGTTACACCCTCAAAAATCGCTTAGCCGAACATTTTCAAATTCACATATCTTACGTAGAAATGTTCAGTAATTACAACAAACTGTACCGCTATTTTTTTCATCAAACGGTTACGAAGATATCGATCTCTAAAGTGAGGGATTCGTTTAGCACGGATAATAGTGTCCAGAAATATCTTGGTGTAACAACAAGATTAGTTAACTTAAGGAAGATTTTATTAGAAATAATACTGCATTAAACTTTATAAAAATTCGAAGTTATTAACAGGTGTCTCATAGCCCAGTGGTTTAATATGACCCCAAATACAAAAGTTAACTTCAGTCATATCCAGCGCACGTGCAGGCCAAAAAATCGGTCTCCCTCCACCAATCCAACTTTTTAAAAATTGTGCATTTACATATTTTCATTAGTTTAATCCAAAGTATGCTGGTATACCATCATGCTTAAAAGTAATATTTCTTCGAATGTTAAGTGAGATGGTTACAAGTAATTCTGGATTCAGAGTATGTGCAGGTAACAAAAATGGTCCCATTACATAATGGTCAATAATCGATAATGATTAATTTCTGGAAACAAGTTTATTAATAAAAAATGTTTAAAAATCATTTCTGGAAATAGGGAATGTTTATGGAAGACATGCTAATATTATAGGGTTTGACTACAAAGACATCCACATGGAAACGTGGCTGTTCTAACATGACTATACCACTCTGGCACAATAGAGGTCAAAAGTAGCCATGGTGCTAACGTCGAGTCTTATCACTACCTCATAGTAGTAATACCTCAAAGTGATGTGCTCTTACTGTGTAGTCTGGCTATAAAATTAATTACAATAACATTTTTCCGAAGTATAAAATTTCATTTCACAATTTTCAATAATTATTCACGTCAATATTTGAGAGGATAGCATGAAATAAATTATATTTTTATTTGTTGTTTTTACTTATTTTTATGTAAAATATAACAATGTGATATTGAAAGAGAACACATCGCGCTCTCAAACTATTTGCTTTTAGAGAAAGAAACATGTTTTTGTCGATTAAATTTGATATACAACATAAACCAGAAGCGTTAAAATATACACCACAAGAAATATGAAAAACATGTTAAAAAATACATAAACAACATTAAAGAAGTTATCAAAACCAATGATTTGGACCTTTCTTAACTAAAAATACGTTATTTTGTTGTTTACAAAACTAAATTATGTCCTGTACATTCATTTTTAATGTAATTATCACTGTCAGAAACTACCTAATTGATTCACACCATCATAAGAAGTCGTAATGACCAAGTTCTATAACATTTTACACCAAATAATAAATATCTAAACACCTAGTATTTCCTACCTTTACTGATTGCAAGATTCCAAGACAAAATTTGTGTGAGTATCATGTGGCATACTGCTTAAATAAATTGTACAGCGGAAGTATGGAGCAATTGTATAAATATTATTTGATGATTTTCTTTCCATTTTATGTCTAATATAAAATTCGTTTTTGCACTTAAATGGATTTTTATTTTATTTTTTCTCAACCGGTTTCGCTATACATTTACAGCATCTTCAGGAGCACATGTGCTCGCATGACATCAATTCTTAACACAATTTTTAATCCTCTTCAATCATAGTTCTACAACGTTCTCTGTGTGATTCTATAAAACAAATATAAAAAGAAATACCAAATGACCCATTTTATAGGACACGTTTGTACAAAATGACGTAATCTCCTGAAGATGCTGTAAATGTATAGCGAAACCGGTTGAGAAAAAATAAAATAAAAATCCATTTAAGTGCAAAAACGAATTTTATTTAATTGTATAAATCGCGTTAAAAAGTTGATTGAATAAGATTGGCTCATTCGTCAATCTTCGCTCAGTCATGGGTAATACTTCCTTTTACTCTGGGTGGTCAGGTCACTGTTATACTGTATTATTATCAAAATAATGGTATGCCAACTATATTAGTTCAAATTAGTGGTGGAACGGATATCCGTCAACTATCCGGCCACTTTTTAAAATCCCTCCGGATACCGGATAGTTACCAAATATCCGGCTTTGGCCGGATATTAAAAATCGATTGCTTAGTACTCCACCATTCACAGGAATTAGTATCTCTTTTAGGTGTTGGGCACTGCAGATAATAATCAAGTTCAACCCAAATATTACTTTTTAATAGAATACAACTTTAATTATATCAGGTTGATCATTAGCAACCTCATTGTAACAATCCCAATACAATATATAAAATCTCTTGTTGCAGTTTCGTCTAGTTTCCTTCTCTTCGCTTGTAATTCATCATCACATTGATTACTAACAGAACA